TCTTATTGGAACTACAAGAAGCTGGTTTCCAAAGCAGACCTGAGAGCTGATAATTACAAAAAAAAAACAACAACACTTAAACGATGTTAGACATGATCTGTGATCAGTAAGCAACACTTTGCACCTTTCAACATTGTTTGTTTTCACAAAATGGTTTCAGCACAGGAGTTGTGAAAGTGATCTTGTTTTTTCTTGCAAGATTCTTTCTCCATTTTAGGCAGTGGCCAGTCATCAGACGGGTAGAAGTTGTGCTGCTGCTGTCTGAAGTGGAAGCCAGACTCCTCGCAATCGGACTCCACACGGATGCTGACCCTGGGCACAGGCTGGTGTTGTGGGTGTTGCAGAGGAGGGCTGAGGCTGAGTTCAGAGTCGGCACGTGAGGGGGGACAGGAGATCTTCAGGTGCAGAGTGATGCTGAGGAACAGTGGTGATGGAACACTTTTACTCTCCATGACTTTCACAGTTTCCAATTTTTCAATTTATTAGGAAATCAGACCTCAAACTGAACCAGCAGTCCTGCAACAAATCATCCTTCTGTTATGTATTTCATTATATTGTCTTTAAGGGTATCATTCATTTAATAATTTCTGGCTAAAACATATTTTTATTAGTACCAGAAAACAAAGCTTTAAATATATTTCTCTACAGCAGTTGGCAGTTACCCTCTGCAAAATGTAACCAAAGGTTTAACCACTGAGAGGCAGTGTTTAATAAGTTGGAGTGTTGAGGGTTTTCATGAGCTGTTGTCTTTTCACTTTTGATATTTCTGTTTTGCTCCATGTCCTCAAGAGGCTTTGCTTTCCACAGGTCATAGCCACTGTGTCAACAACTGGTGATTACTCTGTGCCACAGCGGCTACATCTTGCCAGAAAACTTGAATGTGAGTGTTTTTGGCATAACCATCTGGTGTTTTGAAGCTGGAAACAAAGAGCAATGGGTAGATCTGACTGTGAAACTCAGGACTCAGGCTCATTAGCTGTCAACTTGAAACAATGAGTGTATGCTCAATAATTTTTCTGATTCCAATATTGACCATCATTTATATAATAAACTTCATGTTTGATTGATTGACCTGAAACTTGCAATTGAGTTTTCAATTTCATAAAAAAATTAATTAAGGAATTCCTAGTTATATTACCCTCTCGCCCCTGCGGGTCCTCTACAAGAGGCCTGGGAGCTTGAGGGTCCTGCACATTATCTTAGCTGTTCCTAGGACTGCGCTCTTCTGGACAGAGATCTTGGATGTTGTTCCTGGGATCTGCGGGAGCCACTCGCACCTAGTGCTCCAATTACCACTGGGACCACTGTTACCTTCACCCTCCACATCTTCTCGAGCTCTTGTCTGAGCCCTTGGTACTTCTTTAGCTTCTCGTGTTCCTTCTTCCTAATATTGCTTTCATTCGGTATCGCTACATCTATCACTACCGCCATCTTTCTCTGGTTTTCTACCACTACTATGCCCGGTTGGTTAGCTATCACCATTTTATCTGTCTGTATATGGAAGTCCCACCGGATCTTAGCTTGGTCATTCTCGACCACCATAAGGGGCGCTTCCTATTTTGGCCTTGGAACTTGTTTCTGTATATTATGCCAGCCACTTGTTATGGTTGCCCTGCATGGCATGGCGTGCATGTGATAGACCCCAGGCTCTAAGGATCTTGTGCTCAGTGCTTGTTCCTGTGCTACCATGGTTAGTGCCTCTGTGCTGTCTTTCAGTCCAGCCACTGGTAGGACTTCATGATGTCAGCCACTTCATTTATCTGCTGGTGGTACATGCCGTGCCTATCCTTCCATGATGGTATACATATATATTTATATTTTTTTGGAATGCCATTTAGGAAAATTTTATATATATATATATTATTTTTTAAAGAGTCTGAATAATGAACAATGAATGAACAATGAATATATTGATTGAAACCTTTATATGATATATTTACATTGTAGATTTTCACTGAAGGCATCAAAACTGTGAATGAACAGATATGGAATTATGTAGTAAACAAAAGAAGTGTGAAATAACTCAAAACATTATGGCAAGAACCGTTTAGCTAAGTAAAAAGAAAAGCCAGTCCATCGTAAGTCCAGAAAATTGCTAAAACTAAAAGGATCTAAAATATAAAACATGTTTTGAGTTATTATTTTATTATTATGTTATGTTATTTTAAAGAGTGCAGTGGTGAAAACCATCAAGCACTATGACGAAACTGGCTCACATGCGGACCGCTCCAGGAAAGGAAATCTAAGAGTCCTCTTTGCTTTTGAGGATGAATTCATCCAAGTCACCAGCCCCATGAAATGGTGGTTATTTTGAAGAATCTAAAATATTAAACATGTTTTGAGTTATTTTACACTTTTTTGTTTACTGAATAATTCCATATGTGTTCAGGGAATGCAAAATGGGTTAACAATTTAAAGCTGTTCTGCAGCAATGGAGGTTGATCAAACCTTGAAATTTGGTGCTACTAATTTCTACAGGTGTTCCACTTTTCTGGAATACTTACAACTCTCTCTGTCTGCATAAAAGCAGTGTTGAAACACACTGTGGTACCGTACCCTCATGAGCATCAGTAGAACAGTATTCTACTTCAGAAAGTAGTGTGTTGCTACAAAAATTGCGAGAAAAAGGCAATAAACAATGGAAGCGAGACAGACCATCACTTAAACACTAACAGTTAAAAATGTAGGTCTTTCCTACAGAGAAATTGCAAAGAAAGTTAAGGTGTCAGTGAGTACAGTTTCCTTCAGCATCAAAAGGCACTCAGGAACTGGGGCAAACTCAAACAGGAAGAGGTCTTGCAGACCCGAAGACATAACTGAATCAGAGGACAAGTTTCTGAGAGTTAACGGCTTGCCTGATAGGCAGCTCACATGACAACAGCTTCAAAGTACAGCTTAGTATTGGTCATATTAAGCAAGTCTGTTTCAGCTGTGAAGAGAAGACTTTGAGCTGCAGGTTTGACAGGATGAGTTGCAGCAAGAAAGCCATTGCTAAGGCATGAATGATGATGATAATTTTATTTAAAAAAAAAAAAAAGGGAAAAAAAGCTTGTCTGTCTTTCTATTCTTTCATTATAAAAGATGGATATAGCTACTGTGACATCCTCCATTGGTTTCTAAAGTCTAATACCGAAGTATCAACACAATTTTCACTGTCACCATCTTTTTAAAAATTGATTTATATCTGATCATAACAAAACAAGCAGTAAAAAAAAAATGTTTTTCTGGGCTATAGTGTTTAGCACAGAAAAAAAAACAAGTCTAACCTTAGCTCTGTAGCTATCTACCAGATAGCATGTCACTAACCCTCAAAACATCACTGCTATTTTTTAGTTTAGTTTTTGTTGTTTATTTCTTACATATGAATCCAAAGTTACAGTACAGCATGTTGCACATACTTTTTTCAAAAAAGATTTCAGTCGCAAAATTATATATATAGATACCAACTGTATAACTAATTTTCTGCTAACTTCTAATCAGCTGGATCTTGTAAATCCTCTTGGATTCCTAAATGCTGCAGTTTATTGTGACAGCTGGGAGATCATGTTATTGGTACTAAAATGGACCGTTTTAAACATATTTGAAATGGCTAATGACATCAGGCTAAGTGGACTGAGCTGTGTGGATGCATATTCAGTCAAAAGCTTCACTTCATCACAAAACTCTGAGAAAAGATTGCAGGACTGTTGTATCAGACTACTAGTTTGAGCTAAACGGAGTGTCATGTGCACATAAACAAGATGTATAACCGAATCTTTGAGTTGTATCTATTTAAAAATGTAATCTGTTTTCCATTAGTGAAGGTGTAGTGTGTTTTTTTTTAAGTTACATTTTTTATCCCAGACTTCAACATGATTCAGATACACCTGTTAAGATCATACTTAAAGGAAAAACATGTTAAGATGGAGGTCCATTCTCAAATTGGCTTCAAATGTTTGGGGTATTTACTGTTTCAGATTAAAACATCCTAAATTGAATTTTTATAGCTATGGTTTGCAGGATTAAAGAAGAAATCTCACCACCAAGGATTATCAGTTTACTACATGGTATCTTGAAATTGTTTTTGTGGCCTTACAGGATCCCTGGAGTGATTTTGGAAAGAGGCACAAACACAGTCTCTGGGGGTCACAATCCCCGATAAATGGCAGGATTGTAGCAGAAGGTGTATCTGGCATAAAATCTGTGTAACATGATTGAAGCAGCGTGGGATAGTCTTGAGAACAGACCAAAAGGCAGAAATGTCCAAAGAAGACCTTTGAATGTTCTTCAAGATGCCTTTAGAAGTTTTCTCTATGACACTTAAATAAATAACTGAAAGCTGCCTCAGTGGCTTTAATTTCCATTCATGTTTGCACATGTTTGAATAAAGCACTGCACCCCTTTCCCAGTTTTCTAACAAAATGTAAAGAAATGAGTTGTGGCTCGAGATTTTTCACATTACAGTAGATAGATTTTTTTTGGGGGGGGAATAAAGTCCCTGAAGAGTTTGAAGAGTTTAAAATGATTTCAATGCACTATTGTACAACAAGTAACTTTAACTTACTTTGTTTTTGAAACAACTGATTTCTTTTAAGTGTTATACAACTTTGGGAAAACTGGGCTAAAATTCAGTGAAAATGGTAAAATAAAAATAATAATAATTTTTGCAGTCACAAACTTACGAACAGTATTTATAGCAGGAATCAGAACAAAGCTATAAAACAATTGTCACGTAGTACCAATGGCTCCGATTTCACTCCTATTGGTATCAAAATGTCACAGTTGACAACACACGTTTTGCTTAAAACTTCTTGCTTTTAACAAAATCACAAACTTACAGTAATGGAGATAGCTGTCAAATACCAAACATACAGATCTGCATAGAAATAACAATAATAATAATAACAATTAAACTAACAGTTTCATACACTGCACTATACAGTTTCTATGACAGTGCACTGGATTACCTATATACTCCATTGTCTATATACTCTATATCTTTCCAATACAGAAACATCACAAGCTTTCAAACATAAGCTCTACAAATAAAAATGTCTAAGTCTATGATCATCTAAATCATCACCCTACATACTAGGGATAGAAATACAATACAGAAGCTGATAATTCAATGAAATGTGTGTTTCTTATTTATAACTGTGTTTTGTGGTCTGGAAATAACAGTTTTGTCCCCAATGTTCCTGTCAGGTGAATATATCAGATCACTGTAGGGCACGTGCAATTTCAGCACACAGTACCTGTGGTCTAGCTCATTTTGGTCAGATGTGACTGTTGAGTAAGGGTTCATCTCCTGTAAGAAGCCACATGCACACATATGGACAGAGAACATATGCACAAAACAACACCAAACAAGCATACACAGGCATGTAAACAGATAACATAAATACAAACACAGAAACACAAGAAATTATTAAGTACATTCACTGAAAACTGGCAGATACTGTGCATTACTTCAACAGTCAAAGTGAAATCTACAAAAGATCCAATGTCACAAACAAGATCGAATGCTGTTTGCACCTCATCTGTGTTAGTTAATAACACTGAATATTTACAACATAAATTATGCTGACACATAGGTAATAGAAATTATTAGTGTACTCACAATCTGAGGATAGGCTTTGGGTGGGAGAGTTATTTTGGGAAAGGTCTGACTTTGAGTGGGGCTTTGTGGTCTCCATGTGAATCTTCACTGGAGGGTTTGCAGAGCTGTCAGGCTAAGTGACAAAAAGAGGAAGCAGTTGGCATGCAGGAGAAATTAGAATCTTAAAGGATGAGACTTGATGTTTTTATTAGAGACCTTAAAACCCAGGTACACCAGCATATAGCAGCAAGCAGCAACCATCACTCCTGTTAACAAGTCATCTACCTTAAAGTGTCTCAGACCTATCACCTTGATGTCTGCAGTCACTAAATGCTTCGAGAGGCTGATCCTGCAACAAATAAAGGCCTCCCTCCCACAAAACCTAGACTGTTATCACCTAGACTGTTTGCCTACAGCACAAACAGATCGACAGAGGACGCCATTGCCACAGCCCTCGACACACAGAAATCTGCCACCTAGAGCAACCAGGAAACTATGTCAGAATTCTGTTCATAGAATACAATTCAGTACAGTTGAACGGTAAGAACAAGATCCGGGCCATCAACACGTACGCCCTGCCCG